CTCGATATTTCTTTCTTTTCGTCTTTTCGTATATAACGTGTTCGTACGTTACGTTCGAAACGAATAAAATTCGTCGAAACTTAATTCGAAATTTCGAAAACGATTATCTATATATCTATATATCTTTTTACTATTTTTTAATTGATTGAATTTTTTTTTTTTTCAGAAACAGTGACGATGCTCGCGAGACAGTCGGAGAACAAAACCTTAACCCTGTTCGATCAAGTGTATCGGACGATGGCGGTATCGAGCAGGCCCTCGATAAAAGCTCTGTATCAGGCGATGGTCGATTACGTGTCACCGAGCAACACGCCGGACAGTTTGCAGCAACCGCTGACAAGGGACATGCTTCAAGAAAGGTTCATCGAGTTCTTCGCCAAATTGTTCCCGATCGCGTATCACGGAGCCGTGAATCCTCGCCAATACGAGCAAGATTTCACGGAGAAATTTAAGACGTGCCTGTACGAGACGATGGAACAGATCCAACCGTTCGGCGACATACCGATCCAGGTCTCGAAATCGGTGAGCAAAAGCCTGGAGGCGACCCGGGTCCTGGTCCAGGCGTTGACTCTCGGCAAAACGGTGCTGGACAGGACCGACAGCGTACTATTTTCCGGCACAAGCCCCCAGCAGGAGGCCTGCTACGCCGCACTGCTCAGGATGACCTATTGTCCAAGGTGCAAGGGCATCGGCCCCTCCGTCAGGCCCTGCAGTGGATTCTGCACCAATGTCATGAGGTGACCACCCTCGTATCCCACTAATTATCCACGGCTCGCGCCACTCTATTCACCGGCCCCTTCTTCTAATTTTCAATCGCATTAGTCGTTAGCCCCGAAACCTGTGGGAATCGTTTCACCTTTCACGCGCGATTTTAAAAACGCAGCACGCCCACGGTGCTGCCAATTACACGGGATACGCGTCGATTCTTCTTCTTCCTCTTTTTCTTCTTTTTCTCTTTCAATCGTTAAGTTTAAATTTCGGTTCAGTTATTACGTAGTTATTTCGCTTAAATGTGGACGTGTAAAATTCATTTGTCGGTTAAAATACTCTGTGTTCGAACTAGTAGTAATTACTAGAATTTCGTGGTATCGCGTTGAAAACCATCTAAAGTCGAAAATGAATTCCACTTGCGAACGTGGCGTAGATTAATTTCGAGTTCGCTCAAGCGTAAAATAAAATGTCACGCACGCTTAATTCCTTGCATAAGAATATTGCGCGTTTAATTTATCGCGTAAAAGAGTTTATACAGTTTATACAGTTCGTTTCGAGTTTTTTGAAATTCTGTTCTTTTTTTTTGGGGTTTTTTTTTTCCGGAAAAAAGTTTTTTAATTTTTTTCAGTTTTTTTCGTGTTTTTTTAAATTTTTTTCTTTTTTTTTTTTTTTTTTTTTTTTTTTTTAAACGACGAATTTTTTAATCCTTCTAATTCGTAGATTTCGTCAAATTCGCGAATGAAAAGTATAGACGCGCTTTCTTTCTTTTCCTCTACGTTTCTTTTAACCTTAACGAGCCGCTTTATATTCTACGTCGAGTTCGGTTACTTTCACTTTCTTTTATGGCCTTTGACGAGGCGTTCCCTCGTGCGCGTATGGCCTGCTATTCGCACAAATATCTCCAACTGTCTGGTCGATTTAACTTCAAGGTTAATTTTAACTTTTCCAATTTCCCCTCCCCCCTCCTTTTTTTTTACGTTCGTATTCGTATTCCCTTAATCTATTGAGAATCGCGAGAAAGATGAGAAACGAGATAGAAATAAAAAATAAAATATTCGTAAAATGTTCCTATTTTTAAAAAATAAAAATTGCAATTTGCAAAATAAAAAATACTTGGAAACGTATCAATTGATCGAATTGTGCGTGCAGAGGTTGCCTGACGCAGCCGGCATCCGAGCTGGACCTGGCTTGGTCCGGGTACGTGGAAACAGTGGAGAGGCTCGTAGTGGCGGTCGACGGTCGTAACGATCCGTTGGGCCTGAATGCCGAGAGGGCTGTCAGACAATTGGACACCCGCATTTCGGACGCCATTATGCACGCAATGACAGACGGACCGGCGCTCGAGGAAAAGGTGAGTATCCAAACTGACTTCTAATCTTTCTATCTCTATTTCTTTCATCTTTCCCGTTTCGCTATCGATGCAGAATAATTAAATGGATACATAACGAACGCGTTGAAGCGAATCAATAAAATAAACGACGAATGAATCGTTGAAAAACTTTTTTCGCTTTCGAATCGTTCTTTGCTTCTCGATACCATATACGTTATAAACGAGAGCGTTCCGTGAGCGATCACGTACTCTACTGTTCACTGGTGAAAAAAAGTCTTGCGGGACGGCACAGGGGCAAGAGGGGTTCTTTGCTAGGATTGCCTATCTCTATTTCAGACGCTTTATTGACAGTTCTGAGACCGCTACATAATAGTAGAAGAGCTATTCAAAATCGTAAAATTTATTTTTATTTATATGAAATTACGTTAGGATAATCATCCAAAACTGGAAGCTGAAATATTTTCGACTATTTATAAATTAAACTATCGTTACTAATTTTTATATTATATCGATAGATCGTTAGAATATTCTACATAATAATTTTATAATAATAATCATCAAGATTTAGATTAGTATTTTGTTTTGGATTAGTACACGTGACGAATACCCGCATTCCTTTCGCGAGATTTCTTTCCAGCAGTGAACAGTACAGCTGATAACTTTAGCAACAATCACGTCGATCGATAGAACGTTCACCTTTTGCGAATTGTTTTCACGTACGGAGGAAACGAAGAATAGAGCGAATATTTTTTTAAAAAAAAATTCTTCGATCGAAGAGTGGCCGGTTTACCCAGAATATTCGAAGGTTGGAATCGTTGGAATAAACGAAGGCAAGGATTGCAGTGAGAGTGGGAGAAGGGGAGTGAAATAAACGGCGCCGGATTCTTTCGATTTCTTTTCTCCCTCGGTCCACCTCGATTCTCATCGATCGTATCTCCATACCCGGTTTCACGATATATATTTTTGTTTCCGTTGTTATTGATATTAGGCGGCGAAGGAAGGGCGCCATTATACGTGTATTTCCATAAATTTGTGTGTGTGTGTGTTTTCTTTTTATTTACCAAAGGCAAACGGACAGAAGCAATTTGTGGCCACGATATATATGAAATTCCCCCCGCGGATTAGAGCGTGTTTCGTATAAATAATCGCGAGAACTTTCCTCGGAAACTGGCTTCGGTTTAACCTCGAATTTAGGCAATGAAGCTTCCCCCTCCACTCGAAGTAGGCGTGTACGCCTGACCAAAACTTTCGAAAGGATCTTATACACGTTACTCACCCTTCCGATTCACACGAGTTTTCGCGGCGCTAACATCGTTCGTTTCACGCCATATTGTCCGCATGTAAAAAAGTATCAATAAAAATATTTTCACGTTAATAGTTTCCTTTTAAGATAAATTTGTAAGGATAATTCGATATTCTTTCCAATTTTTTTTTTTCGATTAATTTAACGAACTTTAAGTTAAAATGTATAATAAGTAAAGGTTAATATTTTTTTTGTGCGTATTTTTTTGAACGAGAAACATTTTTTTGACGCAATTATGACGAAAATCAAATAATATCTTATCCTGTGAGACATTTGAAGTTTCGTATTCGCTTTTTTCTTCTTTTTTTATATTTGATTCGTAAGAACAAGGGTAATTGAATCGCGATTTCTTTGTTGCAACGAAAAACGGTAGACAACTCACTCGAACGTTTGTCGCGCTCGGCAGAGTGAAGAAAAGATAGGCCGCGAGGCACGTTGAACGCGTATATAACATTTCTGAAATTCTTTGCCGGTGTAGCTACGTTTCAACGAATGGAATGTACTTACGTTTATACGTTATACGCGTGTGAAACGCACGACACGTACAATACTTCCCGCTTATTTCTCGCGTCGTTACTTCCTTTCACATCCTTTATCACGTCCTCTTATACACGCCACAGTTGACGCGTTAAATCGTTCTAATTTGTAGGAAAGGAGAGAAACGAGCGATTATATTTAGAAAAATAATTTACGAAGCTTATTTTCCATATTTCCCTTTTCACGAGTATATTAATTTCGAAATAAAAAAAAATTATATTTCATTCAAAAAAAAAAAAAATAATGGAACTTGTATCTTATATCTCCTCCGGTTCTTTGGCTCGTGGATATCGAGTGGTTAGATAGGCGTCGATCAATCGTCGCGCGTCCACTCTTTCTGCCGGATGATCGACACGTTGGCTACGAAATGGAAAATGCATGCTATCCGATCCAGTGGGAAAAAATCAGAGAGCGCGTGGTCGGAACGAATAGACGCTATAAATTTCGCGGCGGACTTGTAGCGGTGTATTGCCGCGCCAAGGGCGTCGTTGCGATGATGCACTTTGAACGACTCGTATCGAGGAATCATGGCGAGAGCGAGCGAGCGAGCGAACGAACGGTTTCGAGAAATAAGCTTGAAATAAATAATCTAATACGTATATTAATAAGCCTCGTGTCCAATCTTCGATACGATAGTTTTATTTCTTCCACACCAGATGTTCTTCTCCGCGTGCAATCTCCGAGTTATTGTTAACTCGAAGAAAATTCGCGACAGATAAATCGTGGAATCGAACGTAGTCGAGGATCGAACGTTTGAGATTTTGCAATGAATTCCTCTCGAACACGCAAACGTTAAAATATGGATTAACGCGTTAACGCATTATAATACGTTCGTTTCACGAATAAAGCGACACCGGGGATATTTTTCACGTGCGCGATAAAAGCAAAAACCTTTTGTTCGAAAACAGGTTATTAAGAGGTCGTTTGACATTGTTAAATAAATAATACCCGTGCCAGTCGATTCGAAGAATAATAATAATCGCAATTCCTTCGTGGAACACAGCGATATTTCTAGTAGGTTAACTGCTTCTTCTATCATTACGAGTGAATTTTCCTTGGCCTGTAATACGCGTACAATTGATACTTGGCATTTCGAAACAACGCCCGAAGTCTACGAATCCTATCCTATATATATATATATATATATATATATATATTCTTAATAAAAATCGTTTCTTAAATAAAAATTGAATATCGGAAAATTCGTGATCTGACGTCCTTTGGACTTGGCGAGAATGCGACGAAAGCGGAACACCGGATTGTATAAGGAAAAACATCGGTGACACGCGAGTCTGATTTATTCCGAAAGCGCGACCGATAAAACAGCGTCATCGAGGTCGCACGGGGAATTTTACAACTCGAACGATTTACACGCTCCATGGAGCGGGACTAACAACAGATTAGCATTTTCATCGATGCTTACGAACTCATTGGCCTGCTGCCTAAACCCATATCTCTTCCGTTTAGTCTTATTTACCGCGCTTTTTTCTTATTTACTTACTTACCGTTCACTGCTGTTCACTGCTAAAAAAGTCTCGCGAGAGGCACAGAGGCAAGAGGTATCCTTCGCTAGGACCTTCTATCCCCACTTCAGACACTGTTGACTATCCTGACATCTATCGATACACTACATAGTGTAGAAGAATTATTTTCATTTTCATAAAGAAACTATTAATTATTTTGATGTGATATTAATATATCTATGATATATCTGTGTTTAATTTATTACATTTATAAGCGTATTATGAGAAATAAAAAAACTTTTATATCGATACTCTGAATTCTACGCTAATGCAATGTGAGGTTTAGATACGGAATCGTCGTTTTATTTTCTCTCTCTGTCACAATCGGGTTAGTATATGTGACAAATACTACGCTAAATAAAAATGTGCGCGTAAATGGACGTTTTTTTCTCTTCTTTCCATCAGTGAATAGTACGTTCTTCAGTTTAAACTGTGTAGAAAAAGATAGGAGAAGATATTCGTTACAAGCTTTTTCTTGGTTTTAGTTATGCCTCTTCGATATTGGATCTTTCGCACTCGTCAAAGACTTTGAAAATATTTGACGAAAATAACATCATTTCCCGTTTCCTTGGTCACTCGATTTCCATTCCCACGAAATTGGACTACTCCAATTTCTTCGTCTCGACTCTCCTGATCCTTCCATTCCGTGGAACGCAATTAAAAGTTTGTCGGAGAAACACGGCGTCGCGTGGAAGAACGACGAGAGGATCGATTCGAAAGAGATTCCTCGCGCGAGAAGCACGGATCGCAATGCAGGATCGATTTTACAAGTGGTTATATCTTTCTCCGCCCGTTTGAAAGGGGATTACGCGGCCAATGCATTTTTAATTGCGCCGATTATTCGGAATGGCTTTTAACGGCGGAATGCGTGTGCATTATTCCGCGGCCAGCCTTTTTCCATTCGAGTTTGCTTTTTATGGAAAAAGCTCGATCGAATCGTTTATTTTTTTTTTTTTCTTTTTTTCTATTTATTTCCTTTTTTTTCGAGTCCTTGTCCAGAGATCGAGACATAAATGTGTGCAAATTATTTATCGAATGTATTCTCTTGAAAATAAGAGACAATCCAATGACGAAGAAAATAATAAATAAATTTTTGACATTATGATACATAAAAGCAAAATTAATATTTTGGAATAGAATTTTGTGGAAAATTCTACGTTCCATTCCAATGTTAACACTTTCGTATCGAATAACTTTTCCAATCCAGTTTCATAGATAATTCATTTACACCGTTTTTACTTCCATCATTTCCATATAGCTTTCACAGGATATCCCATCCTTTTATCTTTTTTTTTCCTTTTTTTTTTTTTTTACCCCACCACACGCAATTTTAA